AATTTGATTGATCTATATATTTCAACTCCCTTCTATGATCCTCTTCAGCAGATACAGGTATCTGCTGAAGAGGATCCCAGAAGGAGGTCGAAATATACAGATCATTCAATCTCCTGAGTTTCTGTCTTCATGTGGGTTATTATTGAGGACTGACAAGCGTTCGTTACACTTTAGTTATGCAAAAATCTCAGTAATACAAGATAGACGTATCTAGTGTTACTTGTAATGATACATAGCAGTAGTTCCCAATCTTTCAGCATGAAAGGGCCAATTTAAAAAAAAAAAATACAAATTTAAAGGAGGATCACATTTTGTAATTTTTGTAATTTTTATGATAATAACAATAATATTTTGTAATTGTTGACACTGTGCAGTGTGTGACGTACATAAGAACGAATCCATAATTTCATGTGAGGCTGCATCTATTTCCTAGAAGAGCCACTTGCGGCCCTCGGACCGCAGGTTGGGAACCCCTGCGGTCCGAGGGTACCTGGGTACCTGGCTGTAAGACCCTCACCTTTGAGTCCCCCACCGTCTGTAGCCACGACCTGGATGGCGTATCTCTGAGTCTTCTCTCTATCTAGACAGCAGAGGGCGGTGGTGATGAGTCCCTTCTCGCTGTCCACTGCGAAGATGGGTCTACCTGAAGTCTCGTCGATCACGTTCTTCTCCAGCGAGTACACGAGGCGTGCATTTTGCCCCTCGCGGGGGTCGTCATTGTCTGTAGCGGAGACCTGAGCTACGGCCGCCCCTGACCTCCAACAACACCATGTGAACAAGAAATAATAAGGAGGGAGAATAAATGTCACAGTACCAAGTGAGAGGAATAAAAGTCATAATACTGAGAGAGAGAGAGAGAGAGAGAGAGAGAGAGAGAGAGGAGAGAGAGAGAGAGAGAGAGAGAGAGAGAGAGAGAGAGAGAGAGAGAGAGAGAGAGAGAGAGAGAAAGTACAAAAGTCACAGAAAGGGAAGAATGAAAGTCACAACAGTAAGTGATAAAGACAAGTAAAATTCACATCAAGATATAATAAAAAATAAAATCACATTACTAAATGGTAAAGAAGAATAAAAGTCACCATAAGAAGAGACAAAATTAAAACTCACAATTCACAAGGAAGAAAATGAAGAGTTTGTGAACTCTAACTCCATTAAAAGACTTGTGTAATAAAAGCAAATAAAATATTTATCAATATAATCTCGAACAAAATATTAATAACTAATAATGATAATATAATAATAATTAATAACGATATAATAATTAATAATAATAATAATAATAATAATAATAATAATAATAATAATAATAATAATAATAATAATAACAATAACAATAATAAAAATTCCCGGAAATATTGTATAGGTTTGGGGGACACAAATCTTCTTGAAAGAGAAGGACCTCGGGGTGAGCACATTTCCGAGCATATCACCGGGGGCAAACATCAAGCGAATAACCGCTGCAACAAACGAAAGACCGGCAAAATTAGGAATAACTTTCAGGAATCTAAACAAGGAAGCATTCACGGCCTTATATACATCATTGGTCATGCCCATCTTGGAGTATGTAGCGCCAGTATAGAGCCACCATCTGATAAACCATGTTAAGAAGCTGAAAAAAAGTGCAAAGGTTAGCAACGAAACTAGTTCAAGAGCTGAGGGATATGAAGCATAGGGAGAGGCTAGAGGAGTTAAAACTGACGAGACTAGAGGAGAGAAGGACCAGAAACAACATGATTACGACGTAGAAAATACTGAGAGGAATTGATAGGGTGGATAGGGAAAGAGTTTGAGAGGCGAGTCACAGGTATACGAGGTCACAGCTGGAAGTTAGAAACACAGATGAGCCACAGAGATGTTAGGAAATATTTCTTTGTCCATAGAGTGGTCAGGAAGTGGAACGATCTAGACAGCGACGTGGTAGAGGCAGAATCCATACATAGCTTTAAGAGTAGGTATGATAGGGCTCACACAGTCTGGAGAGAGTGAAACCAGTAGGAGCTATGACCAGAAACTGATAATTGACCCCTGCACCCACAATTAGATGAATACAGAGAGAGAGAGAGAGAGAGAGAGAGAGAGAGAGAGAGAGAGAGAGAGAGAGAGAGAGAGAGAGAGAGAGAGAGAGAGAGAGAGAGAGAGAGAGAGAGGAAAGCAATGCTGCAGTAATTCCTTCTTAAGAAATAAAAATCCCTCTACCCCATCCTGATCATTGCTCACGGGTGATTTAGTGAAAGTCTACGGCCGCAGCTAGTTAATATTCTCTTTTCATAAATCAAACACAAGCTTTGCGTTCGTGTGTATTTGCCCGTGTTTATGAATGTTTTTACGTGCACTCTCACTATGCACTCCACAACCATTAAACAAGAGAGCAGCGTCACCATAACAGAGTTCAAACTAATATCCGACAGTGTATTTTTTTCCCTAAGACAAAAATTTCAACGCCTTAATAAATCTTTATGGGAATCAGGAAGACGAAAAAAAAAATGTCAAATCTCCGTTCCTCAAATCTTGGAAAGAAAAATACCTCTTACCCGAAATTTCGATTTGCATTAATGCTGCCAGATATAAAATGCCGGCAACGGGGGTGTGGGCGCCAGCAGATGGAGACACGAGATGAACGAAAAGATTTAATTTCCTTCTTACATTCGTAGAACGAAGAGCGCGTTCACAAGAGAGAAAATCTATTAATGGCTGAAGGCGAAGTTCCCGAAGTTCTAGAGTTACTTTTTATTTTTTGGTCTAGTTGTTTCTTCTGTCCACGTTAATGTGTGTGTGTGTGTGTGTGTGTGTGTGTGTGTGTGTGTGTGAGTGAACATGAACTGCTGTGAGAACAAGAGCGGCGGTGGAAGGTGACTCACCCTCGGGAGTGTTCTCCGAGATGGTTGCGTTGACGACGTGGTGCGGGAAGAACGGCGCGTTGTCGTTGATGTCCTTCAGGTTGACGTGAACTGCAGTGACTGCTTCCTGTTGTCCGTCCGTGGCTGTCACCCGCAGCCGCCACTGTGACCTCCCATAAGGCGGGTCGCGGTCAAGCGGCTGTCGATGATACGACCAAGAAGAAACAGTTCTCGTTAGAACATTATGGCAGGGAAACCCGCAGTGTACGACTACCATATTCTGCATGAGTTACATGGCAGGAACACCAGAAGCTGTGTGTTTACCATATTAACTGGGACTTACTTGGTGGGAACACCCGCAGTGCGAGGCCATCCAGTTCAACATATGAAAGTTACATAGTGGGGGAACAAAGCCTAGCTATGCTTCCCTGTCATATTATATCACAAGGGATGGGGTTCATACATGAGGTAATGAAATCTGTCCGTTTAAGCTGGGAGACTTCAGCGAGGCGCTGAGGATATCGTCAGTCATTCTAATTCGGGCTCAGTAGCTGCGAGAGCTTCAAAGGTATCGTCCCAGCAGGCAGGAGATACTATTATATGAGAATTATTACCTCCCGAGATAGGTAAGAGGGATCGCAGGGGAAGAGATTTGGGTAGATATCTTAAGCCAGAGATTAGCTATGTTTAAATCATCTTTACAAATGTTTTACGCAATGAGTTTACAATATAACATCTTAAATATAATGAATTTACAATGTTATATATTATTTATAAACTTTAGTCTAAAACAGTGACAAATGAAGATGGTTTAACCTAGCACAACCAAGTGAAGGAAAAAATAAAATATATTAAGTACATAGTGTTGAAAACGATAGCGACTCTATAACGTAAAAAAAAAAGGTTAATGTAAAGAAGGAATTCCATACTTTAAAATAAACATGTATGAAAAACCATTTTCTTTCCCACGGTACAGATACATTAGTCATTCCTTCCGTCACAGTAACATTAACCATCAGAGGGGGTGTCTCTTGAAGCCGTGGTGGACAACGTTATTACCGCAGACAGACTACACCTGGTCAGTCACTCGGTCGATGTAGATAAATGGTTCAGAGAACCAACAGGATGATGAATTAGACACTTGTGCAACACTTGGGTATCTTTATTATCAAAACGTTTCGCCAACAAGTGGGTTTCCTCAATCCAATACAGAGAAGATTGATGATGATCAGAAGGAGTTTGAGGTAATCAGTCGCTCAGCCTGGAGTCGATGCACAAGCATTTGATTCATCACATGGTGGATGTTCATGCATCTCTCACACGCCCCTGATGTCTCCGTTCATTGCCTTTGTTGTTATTACCACCTTAGCTAACAACCGTACCTGAGGGTTAAACAGCTGGCTTAATATGTTACAACTACAGCTGGTCTTGTATTACCAGCATCGCTGCAGCAGTTCCTGATGATAGTAACGGAAAGACTAACCACTTCGCTTTACGCTTCGACCACAGCTGGTCTTCTGTTACTGCCAGTTCCGGAGTGATAAACAGCTGGTTTGATGTTCCAAACACAGCTGGCTACGTTACTACCGCAGCTGAGTCTGTCTTATCATCACGGCTATTCTCGTCCTCCCGTTACAACGTGACGTACAAATGAAAATTCGGTCTTTATTTCTGCCATAATTTTGTAGCAGATCCCTCCTTCAAGAGAAGTTCCTTGATGCTGGCGAGGGCTCTTGATCAAAGGAACTGAATCTGAATTATAATTTCAAAAACCAAGCCTGAATGTCTTCTATTCCCTCAGGCGCTGTATGACCCCTATGGGTTTAGCGGTTCTCATGCATGTAATAATAATAATAATAATAATAATAATTATAATAATAATAATAATAATAATAATAATAATAATTATAATAATAATTAATAATAATAATTAATAATAATAATTAGCTGCAGATCGATTCATAACATCCTGTGAGATGGGTTAATCACAACTTAGGAATCGGTATCCCCTCCAGCCACGGAATGGATGGCAGCAGCTCTCTGACAGCCCCAAGACTAGATAATCCGAATAATCTGCACCAGGAGATGGGCCATTCAGCTCATCAAGGCTCCGGGCACATATATAATTGATGATAATCCCTGCTGCCTCACTCTGGGAAAGGCTGTGTGTGTGTGTGTGTTGTGTTGTGTTGTGTGTGTGTGGTGTGGGTGTGGTGTGTGCCTGGCCGTGTGTTGCCTGTGTGTTAGATTCAGCTCCTGGCTCTATTTCTTAAGCCTTTTGTTGGTGATATACTTGATTTAATATTTCACACTTTCTCTATGTGAGATCTTTTAGCATTTTTTTTATCTTCTATAATTTATGCAATTTTCTTTTGGATATTGTATCATGGAATTTTGCTTTATCGCAGACATTCATGAAGATATTTATCATTATTATATAAATTAAAACATTTCTTGGTAAATAATTCTTTTGTAGTCCCATAGTGGCACTTTCACAATTGGGATTTTTTTTCACTTATCATTGTTCGTGCGAATCAGATGGGGCTGAGTAGATGGAACGAGGCGACGACATGAGGACGAGGAAGACCGAGGTAGCCAGGGGGTTCTGCAGCGTTGAGGTTGAGGGTAGGAGAAGGACACGAGGATACAGAAGGAGGATAGTTGAAGAGGTCATCTCTCGGTAATGCAGAGAAAAGTACTCATCTGCAGGAGTTGGTGGCGCCGGTGGTGGAGTCGACAGTTCGAAGACACGGTCTTGTGCCATTGTGCAGCGCCGTACGTCCGCTGAGGTCAGTGGAGGTGGCCAGTAGTCCCCTGCTCGCCTTCGTTCTTCGCTCGTACTGCTTAGTCCAACACCGTAGAGGTACGGAGGTGTGAGGGAGGATGAGGAACGAGCTTGTTACAAGGTTGAGATTTCAGGTCTGATGTTTTACTCCCTGTGTGTTGTTGTGTCATGTGTGTGTTTTGTTGTGTGCTGATGTGTTGTTGTGTGTAGTAGTGTGTGTGTGTGTGTGTCGTGAAGGCTCATTATGTGTGGTCTGCAGGGTCGATCACACTCCTGGCCTGCTCTTTGCTGTCTCTTGTCACCTTTCTAACTCTATAGGTTTGTTGACAGTGTGTTTCTGTCCTGTAAACCATGCTGGTTGTCAATTATACATTGTTTCTTTCCAGTGCTCCACCACTCTCCTCACTGATGATCTTCTCCATGACCTTGCAAACTATACACGTTAGTGATACAGGTCTGTAGTTTAGTGCCTCATGTCTGTCTCCCTTTTTAAAAATTGGGACTACATTTGCCATCTTCCATACCTCAGGGAGTTGCCCAGTTTCAAAAGATGTGTTGAAGATCTTTGTTAATGGCACACACAATATCTCTGCTCCCCCTTTAAGGGGCCCACGGAGAGATGTTGTCTGGTCCCACCGCCCTTTGAGGTGTCAAATTCGCATTTGCAGCTTCTTCACTTCCTCCTTGGTTATATGTACCTCATCCAGCACTTGCTGGTGTACCCCCCTGTTCTGATTTCCCGGAGTCCTACTGGTTTCCACTGTAAATACTTCTTTAAATCTCGTTTTTGAGCTCCTGACATACCTCTCGGTCGTTTCTTGTGAATTCCCATCACCCTTCCTCAGTCTGATTACCTGGTCCTTGACTGTTGTTTTCCTCCTGATGTGGCTGTACAACAGCTTCGGGTCAGTCTTGACTTTCGATGCTATGTCATTTTCATAATTGTCGCTGAGCCTCCCTTCTTATCTGTGCATATTCATTTCTGGCTCTTCGGCTAATCTCTTTATTTTCCTGAGTTCTCTGTCTTCTGTACCTTTTCCATTCTCTAGTACACCTAGTTTTTGCCTCCCTACACCTTTGGGTGAACCAAGGACTCGTTCTGTTCTTCCCATTATTTCTGTTTCCCTTGGGAACAAACCCCTCCTCTGCCTCCTTGCATTTTGTTGCCACATAGTCCATCATTTCTTGTACTGGTTTTCCTGTCAGTTCCCTCTCCCACTGAATGTTTTGAAGGAAGTTCCTCAAAGCCTGAGTAGTTCCCCTTTTGTAGTTTGGTTTTTTTTCCCACCCTATTCCTGCTACTCTCTCCACTTGGAGCTCAACTATGTAGTCGAAGCACAGAACCACATGATCACTAGCTCCCAGGGGCCTTTCATACAAGATATCCTCGATGTCTGAACTACTCAAGGTGAATACAAGGTCCAGTCTTGCTGGTTCATCTTCTCCTCTCTCTCTGGTAGTGTCTCTAACATGTTGATGCATGAGGTTTTCCAGTACTACATCCATCATCTTGGCTCTCCATGTTTCGGAACCCCCATGGGGCTCCAGGTTTTCCCAGTCAATCTCCTTGTGATTGAAATCACCATAACTAGTAACTTTGCTCCCCCCACATGTGCTCTCCTGGCCACCTCGGCTAGTGTGTCGACCATGGCTCTGTTGCTCTCATCGTATTCTTCTCTTGGTCTCCTGCAGTTCTGTGGTGGTTGTACATTACTTTCAATTATCACCTTATGTCCCTCAGACTGGATTGTTCCTACTAAGTAGTCCCTTTCACCCGTGCCATCCATTCCTTCCATTTTCTCAAAACCCCACTGGCTTTTAATGAGCAGTGCAACTCCTCCCCTCTCCTCCTCTGTCTTTCCTGAGGATTTGATATCCGGGTGGAGAAAGATTGAATCTGTTATTATTCTGGTGAGTTTTGTTTCTGTGAGTGCTATTATGTCTGGGGATGTCTCCTTGATTCTTTCATGCCACTCCTCATACTTATTTGTTATTCCATCTGCATTTGTATACCATACCTTCAACTTTTTTTTCTAAGACTGTGGTCTGGGAGGTGTATTGGGGTTGGGGAAGTGGGAAACCTGATAAGGAACTATGGGTGGTTGCTGTGGGGGTGGAGTTTGTAATGTAGTGGGTGGGGGCATTGGATATGACATGGGTGTTTTGGTTTAGAGTGTTTGGCTGCACTGGGGTTGACCTGGTTGGGAGGCTTCTATAGGAAGCTGTGAGGGAGGTTGTATTTGATCTTCTTCCTGTGTCTGGGATCTCCTGTCTGTCTTCTCCATCCCCTCTCTTTCCTCCCTTTTGCCTTTGTATCATCTCTCTCAGTTTCCCCTTTCGTCTTGTGTTCTGTCGCGGTCGAGATAACACCTTCCTGTATTCCGGCATGTCCCTTAATCGTGCTTTCTCCCACAGTATCCTGTTCCGAGTCGATTCTGCCTTGAAGGTCACTTTCACTGGCGGGTTCTTTTTTTACGAACCCCCCTATTCTCCGAAAATTTTCCAGCTGGGTTTATGTCGTCTTCTCCGATTTTCTTTCATGATGCTTTCAATTGCTTTTTTTTCCCCTTGTTTTCTTGCTTCATATGTTTCCCCTTCAACTTCCTGTAGCCCATACACAAAGACTGACCTCACCCTTTCATTCTCCCACTGCATATCCCTGTGTATCCCCTCATTCAATTTGATTTCCTCAATTGCAGCTTTCCTTTCTTCAGTTTCACTAGCTACTGTACATGGGCTCAGTGGCCTGTCATTTTCCCTTCTCGGCTTTCCCTGGGCTCTGTTGTGGTCTTTTAGGGCCTCCACATATAGCTTAGCTCTTTCATTTACTACAGTCTCCACTGAGAGAGCTTCTACATGCAGTTTTGCTCCTTCTGTCCCTACAGTCCCCTTATTTGTGGCTGAGGTAGCGGTCTCTGTTGTCAATCCCAAAATGTTCTTTAGTTCTTTAGTCTGTTTCAGATTTTCCAGTTCCTCTTCTAAGCTCTGTATCCTGGCCTCTGCTGCTTTGACTATCACCTCCCACTTCCTGCTTTCCATGTCTATCCTCTCTTCCATTCTCATGCTAAGTTCTTCTAGTTTCTTTTCCCATTCTTGTTCCCTTTTTGTGAGCTCTGCTGCCCAATCTTCCTTTGCAGTTCCCTCCTCCTGTCCCTTGGGTTTTCTTGTTGCTCTCTGGCAACCCATTTTTTTTTATCCTGATTGCCTCAGAGTGGGAAACCTATGTAATTCTGTATGTTAGGTTTGTATTGTATATGTCAGAATGTGGGGGGGAGGTAGAGGAGGAACTGTGGCTATATGGGAGAGTAGTGGGGAGGGGGAAATAGGAAGGAGAGTGAAGCAAGTGGGTAAGTGGGGTGAGTGGGAGAGGGAGAGGTGGGGAGGGGGAGGGTGAAAGAGGGAGGGGAGGGATCAGGTGAAGGAGTGAGATGTCGGTGGGGGAGGGGGGGAAGTGTATGTGTGAGTCTGGCAATATGTGTGTGTGTGTGTGTGTGTGTGTGTGTGTGTGTGTATTGTGTGTGTGTTGTGTGTGTGTTGCGTGTGTGTGTGTTTGTGGGGGGGGTGTGAGTGAGTGTGTGGGTGAGTGTGTGGGTGGGTGTGGTGGGTGGGTGTGTGGGTGGGTGTGTGGGTGGGTGTGGGGGGGGGTGTGGGTGGTGGTGTGGGGTGGGTGTGTGGGTGGGTGTGTGGGTGGGTGTGTGTGGGTGTGTGTGGGTGTGTGTGGGTGTGTGTGGGTGTGGGTGTGTGTGTGTGTGTGTGTGTGTGTGTGTGTGTGTGTGTGTGTTGAGATTCAGCTCCTGGGCCTCATTTCTTAAGCTTTGTTGGGATATACTGATTAAATTTTCAACTTTCTCTAGTGAGTTCTTTTAGCTTTTTTTTTTTCCTAAATTTATGCAAGTTTTCTTTTGGATAATTGTTCATGGGATTTTTGCTTTACTCGCAGACATCCATGAAAGATATTTATCCATTAAATTATATAAATTAAAAACATTTCTTGGTAAAATAATTCTTTTGTAGGTCCCACTAGTGGCACTTCACAATGGGGATTTTTTTCACTTATCAATGTTCGTAGCAGGAAAAGAGGAGGATGAGAGCAGTGGAGGAGGAGGAGGAAGAGGACGAGGAAGAGGAGGAGGAGCAGGTTGAGGTTGAGGTTGAGGAGGAGGAGGAGGAGGAGGAGGACAAAGAGGAAGAGAAGGAGGATAGTGAAGAGGTCATCTCTCGAGTAATGCAAGAGAAAAGTACTCACTCGCAGGAGGTGGATGGCGCCGGTGGTGGAGTCGACAGCGAAGCACGGTCTTGTGCCGTTCGTGTAGACGCCGTCGCCGGAGAGGGAATAGTGGAGGTGGCCGTAGTCCCCAGCGTCCCCGTCCTTCGCCGTCACCTGCTTAGTCCAACACCGTAGAGGTACGGAGGGTGAGGGAGGGAGAGGAAGAGGCTTATGTTACAAGTGTTTGAGATTTCAGGTTCTGATGTTTTACCCGTGTGTGTGTGTGTGTGTGTGTGTGTGTGTGTGTGTGTGTGTGTGTGTGTGTGGTGTGTGTGGGGTGTGTGTGTGTGTGTGTGTGCGTGAGTGCTCATCTATGTGTGGTTGCAGGGGTCGAGTCACAGCTCCTGGCCTCGCCTCTTTGCTGGTCGCTACTATGTCCACTTTCTCCCTGCTCAATGAGCTTTATCCTGTGTATGTGTGTGTGTGTGTCTGTATATATGCACTCGGTAAGTTGTGATTGCTGGGATCAGGGTTGACCTGGCTCCACCTCTGAACTGCATATGAACAGTGTCATTAATTCACTGCCTCGTCGGCCCTGATCAACCTATCCAGTTATACTACTTCCTTCATTTATCTTATTTTCAATTCCTGGCCATTTACGAAATTAGCCATAGTTAGACTTCGATGATTCCTCGTGATCACTCATTTTAGTCATGGTTGAGGTTTGGTCAACGAGGGAAGTTGAGGGAGGCACCGGTCTCCAGGCTGCTGAGGGGGGAAAAGCTGTTAGAGAGAGAAACTTGGCTCGCCTTGGCCACCTGCTGGTTTTCCGATGTCTTCTTTTTCCCGAGGGCTGGATGATTAATGCTTTGGGGTAGCGTAATATTCTCCTCAATATGTTTTGTCTAGTGGTACAGCTCTTGCCTAGATTGCCATGTTAAGTGGGTGACTAGGAGCAGACCCATTCTTAATATTGGTAACTTTTGGTAAAATTATATTTATCTTCACGTTTTTTGCGTTAATTTATATCTCTTCGTACTTTGTTGTTATATGTCTTCTTGTTAGGCCAGGGGAGCAGACGCACTGTGTGCACCGCTAACAACAATCTTCAATAAATCTATCGTTACAGGGCACCTACATGAGTTGAAGACGGTAAATGTAGTCTCAGTTTTTGAGAATTAAAGCAGGCAGCATTCAACTATTATTTAACATAAATGGACTGGCTTGTAAGGCAGATACCTATACTGCTACCAGTACTAGTTCGTCTCACACGCAGGAGGAGTAGTAGGGGCAGCAGCAAACCTTGATTTATAAGGAGTAGGTCAGGACTTTAAAGTTACCTGTTGTACACGTAAAATTATTTTGAGAAAGTGGCAAGGCCTCACTTAAATTATAATTCGGATCTACATATTACATCACTCTCCACTCATTTAATGCGATAAAAAGCTTCAACATTCTCTTTTAGCACAAAATGTTGTCAAATGGAGACGTCTAATAGTCAAAAGATTAGATGTAATTAAAGTTTCCTGTAACAAATCTGCTCCAAAATTACACATTGCTAGAAATTTATTACAAATACATTTATATAAGAATAAATAAGAATTCTTGAACGTATTTGGTTAAAAGGAAAATCTTTCAGCATTCCAGTGATGCCTGACATAACCAACTGGCCGGGATTTAGTTTAGTTATGATACTGATGAAAGAGGATAAAAATGTTCCAGGAGAGGAAACAAGGGCCGCATGAGGCCTTGACCAGCATACACTGACAGTCACTCAGATTCAGTGAGCCCAGCAGTCGCTGTTGCCATTACTCTACCATAGTCTCTGAGTTACTCCCAACCTTCACATATCCTGCTATATTCTGGATCTCACTCTGGTAAAATGTCTGTCCTTGTTGCAGTAGTTTGAACACTGTAATTATTTTACCTACTGTATTGCGTTATTCCAGTTTTTCCTCGCAGCTCTGGTACCAGCCTGGACGACATGTCTTTCAACTTTCACTGTGTTTGTCTAGGTGGATTTTTTTCCACGCTGTTACTTTCTGTGTGGAAGGGAATGTGTGTGGGCGTGTGTGGATGCATGTATGCGAATGGGTGTGTGTTTGTGTGCATGTGTGTATTTGTGACTGTAGAGGTTGAGTCTAAGCTCCTGACCCCTTTTCTCAGCTGGAGAATACTGGGTTCACGCTCTCCTGGCTTCATGAGCGATATCATACCCATTCCTGAAGCTGTGCATAGATCTTGCCTCTAAGAATTTGCTGTCTAGATCGCTCCACTTCCTGACAACACTGAGGCTGAATATTTCCAACAATCCCTGTAACTTATCTGTATTACAAGCTTCCGGCTGTGCCCTAGTGTTGCTGTTTCCCGCCTCTTAAACAACCTGTCTCGGCTCACCTTATCCGTTCCTCTCAGTATTTTGTACGTCGCTATTATATCTCCCCTGGTTCATCTGTTCTTCAATATCATGAGATTTAGCTTCTTTAGTCTCTCCCAGAAGTTCACACCCCTTAGCTCTGTATTTTATTTTACAGTTTCTTGACATGTTTGATCAGGTGTGTGATCAACACTGGTGTTGCATTCTCTGACACATGTATATAATACTGCATATGATATTTTTGTTAAGATTCCTGAAAGCTAATCTTAGTCTGGGGTTATTGGAGTTAGGAGAGACTGAAGGAAGTAAACCTGAAGACAAAGACTAGAGAAGACCAATCCTGCCAGAGGGAACAACGTCTGACAGATTAGACACATGTGCATCACTTTGGTATCTTCGTTGTGGAAACATTTCGCCACACAATGGCTTCATTAGTGCAATACAAAGAAGAATGGTAGAGATTAGGAGTTTGAGGTAATCAGTCCTTCAGCCTGGAGTCGATGTAAGGATGAAGTAACCCTACCTGAAGGGACATTTCCGTCCTACGGGACTGTAAGGATGGAGCAGTTGTCTGGCATGGTTGGATTACACTTTCACCTCCATATTGAATAGTTGGGAAATTAGGTTGCAGATTATATCCTGCCGTCTGACTTAACTTCTACCCATCTTTCTGACTAGGGAAAGGTGTGGTATTATATTATTAGTAGTATTAGTAGTAGTAGAAGTGACATTTACGACGCACCGTGACCTAGTAGGTCACTCATCGCTCACAGTCACACAAAAATATATACACAACACGATAAAAACAAGGATACAATGACCATATAATATAAAAGAGCATAAACACTTAATACAAAAGGCATCATACCAAGTTAATAAACCAGTATCAATTAAAACTCCCCATGAAATTATTAATTTTAAAAGGCTTTCCTAAAAGTTCCTGGGATAGGACGTAAGTCTCCCAATGCGTGATACGATTACCATCTAACAGTTATAATAATGTGAAACAGTTATAATAATGTGTCTGTTGCAAGGTTAGAGGACTTATTTTCACAGTTTCCGGACGGAGAATCGTGACTCTAAACACTCCGAGCTGAATGATCCACACAGTTTTAGCGCTCTATATAAATGTAACAATATACCGACGGAGTCTTCCTGGGGCCACATTTACCTTGGAAACGTTTTTCAGCACACAATTGCATAAGTAACATTGAAATCCTCATCTGAAGGTAGTATAAAGGCGAGTGTTCCGTGTACCGCTCTGGTGACATCACATGCGAGTGTTCCGTGTACCGCTCTGGTGACATCACATGCGAGTGTTCCGTGTACCGCTCTGGTGACATCACATGCGAGTGTTCAGGGTACCGCCCTGGTGACATCACATGCGAGTGTTCAGTGTACCGCCCTGGTGACATTACATGCGAGTGTTCAGTGTACCGCCCTGGTGACGTCACATGCGAGTGTTCAGTGTACCGCCCTGGTGACATCACATGCGAGTGTTCCGTGCACCGCCCTGGTGACATCACATGCGAGTGTTCCGTGTACCGCCCTGGTGACATCACATGCGAGTGTTCCGTGTACCGCCCTGGTGACATCACATGCGAGTGTTCCGTGTACCGCCCTGGTGACATCACATGGGAGTGTTCAGGGTACCGCCCTGGTGACATCACATGCGAGTGTTCCGTGTACCGCCCTGGTGACATCACATGCGAGTGTTCCGTGTACCGCCCTGGTGACATCACATGCGAGTGTTCCGTGTACCGCCCTGGTGACATCACATGCGAGCGTTCGTGTACCGCCCTGGTGACATCACATGCGAGTGTTCAGTGTACCGCCCTGGTGACAATCACATGCGAGTGTTCCGTGTACCGCCCTGGTGACATCACATGCGAGTGTTCCGTGTACCGCCCTGGTGACATCACATGAGGGTGTTCAGGGCACCGCCCTGGTGACATAACATGCGAGTGTTCCGTGTACCGCCCTGGTGACATCACATGCGAGTGTTCAGGGTACCACCCTGGTGACATCACATGCGAGTGTTCAGTGTACCGCCCTGGTGACATCACATGCGAGTGTTCAGGGTACCACCCTGGTGACATCACATGCGAGTGTTCAGTGTACCGCCCTGGTGACATCACATGCGAGTGTTCAGTGGACCACCCTGGTGACATCACATGCGAGTGTACCGTGTACCGCCCTGGTGACATCACTTGCGAGTGTTCAGTGGACCACCCTGGTGACATCACATGCGAGTGTACCGTGTACCGCCCTGGTGACATCACTTGCGAGTGTTCCGTGTACCGCCCTGGTGACATCACATGCGAGTGTACGTGTACCGCCTGGTGACATCACTTGCTAGTGTTCCGTGTACCGCCCTGGTGACATCACATGCGAGTGTTCCGTGTACCGCCCTGGTGACATCACATGCGAGTGTTCCGTGTACCGCCCTGGTGACATCACTTGCGAGTGTTCCGTGTACCGCCCTGGTGACATCACATGGGAGTGTTCAGGGTACTTCCCTGGTGACATCACATGCGAGTGTTCCGTGTACCCCCCTGGTGACATCACATGCGAGTGTTCCGTGTACCGCCCTGGTGACATCACATGCGAGTGTTCCGTGTACCGCCCTGGTGACATCACATGCGAGCGTTCCGTGTACCGCCCTGGTGACATCACATGCGAGTGTTCCGTGTACCGCCCTAGTGACATCACATGCGAGTGTTCAGTGTACCGCCCTGGTGACATCACATGCGAGTGTTCCGTGTACCGCCCTGGTGACATCACATGCGAGTGTTCC